GGTGCAGCGCACTCACAGCCAGTGTATCCAAGTGCAGGGACCCCCGGGTCGGTGCAGCGCACTCACAGCCAGTGTATCCAAGTGCAGGGACCCCCAGGTTGGTGCAGCTCGGTGCAGAGCACTCACAGCCAGTGTATCCAAGTGCAGGGAGTCCGGGTCGGTGCAGCGCACTCACAGCCAGTGTATCCAAGTGCAGGGAGTCCCAGGTCGGTGCAGCGCACTCCCAGCCGGTGTATCCAAGCTCAGCGAGTCCGGGTCGGTGCAGAGCACTCACAGCCAGTGTATCCAAGTGCAGGGAGTCCCAGGTCGGTGCAGCGCACTCGCAGCCGGTGCAGAGAGTTCCGGGGAGTCCCGGGCCGGTGCAGCCCGACACCGGGAGCCCCGGTCGCTGCAGCCCGGCGCGCCGGGTCGCTGCAGCCCGGAGCAGAGCGCGCGCTCGCAGCCGGTGCAGGGAGTCCCGGGCCGGCCCCGCGGGGGCGGCTCCGCGGCCGGGGGTGCAGAGCACCCTCTCCCGGCGCCGCCCGCCGGCAGGCTCCGACCTCGGGGACTTTCTTTTTTTTTTTTTTATTTTCCGCCTCTCGCCGGCAGCCCCGGCCTCGTCGCGGCCGCGCAGCGGAAGCGGCGCCGGGGGGATGCGGCGCCCCGCGCCCCGCCGCTGAGCCATGGGCTGCCGGGGCAGCTCCCTGCGCTGCTGCCGCCCCCGCGCCAACGCCGCCCGGGTAGGGGCCGCCTGGGCCGGGGCTGCCCGGGGCTGGGGTCTGCCTGGGTCGGGGTTTGCATGGAGTTGGGGTCTGCCTGGGTCGGGGTTTGCATGGAGTTGGGGTCTGCCTGGGCTGGGGGCTTGTTTGGGGTCCGGGTCTGCCTGGGGTCAAGTTTGCCAGGAGTTGGGAATTGCATGGGGTGAAGTTTGCATGGGGTCAGAGTTTGTGTGGGGTTAGGGTCTGCCTGGGGTGGATTTGGCTTGGGGTTTGCCTGGGCTTGGGGTTTGTGTGGGGTCAGAGTTCGCATGGAGTTGGGGTCTACCAGGGGTTGGGGTCTGCCTGGGGCCGGGCTTTGCAGGGAGGTGGGGATTAGGTTTCCCTGGGGTTGGGGTTTGCACGGAGGTGGGGTTTGCTGGAGAGTTTCTGTGCCTGACAGTTGGGCAGGATGGGGGTTGTTGGGGCTGGGGCATTTGCTGAGCAGGTCCCATTGCAGCCGTGGGCTGGGGGTGCCCGTGTGGGGAGCCGCCCGGCGCAGCGGCAGCCTGGACGCTGGGGCTGTCCCGGCCTGGACGCTGGGGCTGTCCCGGCTGTGCGGGGCCCATGGGCACCGTGGGGCTGCGTGGGCATCGCGGCGTGGGCAGGCGGCACCGGGCTCAGCGGCTGCCTGCACCTCTGTCCAAGGGGGCAGCCCCACGCGTGGGAAGGGTGCAGACCTCACAGGTGATAATTCATGCCTGAAAAGCTGGGGTGCTTAGGAGTGGGATGGGGTGCCCAAGACTTGTGCTTGTCCCCTGTGCCGTGTCCCCTTCCTGCTGCAGGTGACGCTTAGGTGAGGGAAGGCCCCAGACCCCGGCCGGTCTCGGTGTGTTGCTCTGCACAGACACAGTCTGCCATGAGTTAAGCCCTTCCTTCAGCTCCAGAAATGCCCTGCTGCTGGTGATGGTGATTGTTGTTGAGGTGCTGGTGACTCAGTGCTGCCCGAGCCCCGCCGCCGGCTGCGGGACTGTTTGCGAGGTCGGATGTGCTGCGCCTGATGTGGTTTTTTGGGGTTGGGGGGCTGTGGGCGCTCCTGGGGGGCGGCCGGGGCAGGAGGAGAGTTGAAAAGGGCCAGAGGAGCGAGCACGGCCCTTGCATAGGGGATGCCCGAGAGCTCGGCCCATGCAGGGGTGCGGGGGCAGCAGCTCAGCTTTATTTACAGCACTTGGCTGCTTCTCTGTGTCATGGAAAATATACAGTGCTCCTTGTGGCATGGGATCAGGCGCAGCACGCGACTCGGGGAGCCCGCGAGAAGGGGCACGCGCCGGGGCAGGCGAGAGGCCCCAGGCGCTGCGAGAGGAAATGGAGCAGCGCCCCGGGGCCGCTTCCCCTCCCGCGCTGCACCCCGAAACCTGCCTCGCCGCGGTGACACTGCTTGCTAAGCCTGAAAGCACCTCTGAAAATCCCCTTTTGGCCATAAATGGTACAGCGGAGCGTCAAGCCACGGCCATCCACACGCTCCTGTCTGGATCCCAAAAGTGCAGGGCGGGCGCTGTCAGTGCCTCTGGCACCCCAGAGCCCGCAGGCAGAGCAGGGGTGGGCAGCCTGTCGCAGCAGGGCTGCTGTGGGGCTGCCCCACGCCGGAGGGCAGCACAGGGGGGCCAGGCTGCATTCCAGGTGCTCCCCGCTGCCGCAGGGAGCCGGGACACGGGGATGTGCCGGGGCAGGTGCCGTGCGCCGCAGCCCCAGTGCTCCCCGTCCCGTCCCCCCTTCTGCACCCTGCTCACTGTGCTGGGACTGCCCTTCAGTCCATGTTCCCATCCCGAGAGATGCCAAGATGCCTTCCTGGGGGATCAGGGCTTGGAAAGCTTCCAGCACTGGGATAAATATATTCTGGAGATATAGGAACTATATGTAGCATCAGGAGCAAGGGAAAGGTCGGAATGCAAGGCTCAAGACTTCTCAGCAGCGTTAGCAGCTTGCAAGCTGTGGTACAGATTTAACTGCATGGGAGGCGAGACTCGTTTTGTATCACAACTGTTGTGGGACAAAAAGCAGGAGCAGGCGCCAGGAGAGAGACCCAGCAGATCCGGCCCACATCCCCACGTCGAGAGTGGGATTAGTGGCCTAATCCTCAGCTTCTCTCCCTGGCCACAAAGCAAAACTTCATACCTAGGAGCAGAGTCGGGATTTAATTGTTCATTTCCCGTCTCTTTGTGATTTTGTTCTTTGATGATAACGTTGCATGGTTCAGTCACCCAATGCGGTTGTTAAACAGGAAAAGAGGAAGAAAAATACGGTGAAAACAATCTCATGCAAAACGCTGCAGCCCCGGCTGCATGTGCCCCTGCTCCTGCCTGCTGCCTCGGTGCGCCCGAGCTGGCCCAGCCCCGGGCGGGCTTTGAGGGGGAAATGCCGGATACTTGTCTCGGGATAACTTTGCTTCAGGCCTTTAAAATATTTAATTCCAAGAAGCTGGTCCATTTAAAGCACCTTTTAAAATCAGAAGGTAACTTTTGCCATGAGGAGCCTCTTCAAACCTGAATCCAGAAGTTTTCATGGTGAAACATTAAAGGAAGTGGAGCCCTGCCGCCAGTGGTCTGCGCCTGCTGGACGTTCTGGTTTGGAGCAGCTGGTGCTTCCAGAGGCTCCCTGCAAGTGCCGGCTTGGGGCACCTTCCTAGCTCCGTTCTTTTCATCCACGTTGTGGCTTTGTGGCTGTTGCTTCCCGCTTGGTTGAAGCTCATCCAAGAGGACAAAAGAGCCCTTGGGCATCAGATTAGTTCCGACACCCTTTTAATTGTTCCCAGAGGCAGGAAGGGCACAGTCACTTTTAGCCTCGAGAACGGCATTTGGATGTGTTTGCTTGTGCCTACGCACTTCTGCATCCCTTTCGTCACTTTCCTGTTAGATCCCATTTTCTGGGATAATCTTCCTTGGCCTGGGGATGGGCTGCAAGTCCCCTTCCCTCTCCCAGCAAGCCCCACAATGCGGAGAGCGCCCTGGTCCTGGCGCTCCTGGACACAGGGATGCAGGGAAAGGCTTTTCCCCACTGCGGGAGCATGCTGGGCGGAATCTGCCACATCGTGCCCAGTCCTCCCAGTCCGGTGCCGTGGACTGGGCTGGCTCCAGGCCAGCATGTGAGAACCAGGCTGCCTATTGCTTTGGGACTTCTGCTTATGCCGTCCCCTAGCACCTCGAGGACCTCGGACTTTGGCTTTGACGCCTCCAGGGACCCCTGCACCAGTAGAGGAGACCGAGGAGCCCTTTTGTGCTGGACTGGTGCCCTTCCTTTGCTTTCAGGGGTGCTGGAAGGAGCAGAGGCAATGGGCAAACCTGCTCCCTGCATGGAGCGAGTTGAACAAGGAGGGATGCAGGTATCAAATTCCCATTTCCTTTTGATAAAGCCTGAGAAGAGCCTGGAGTTTGAGGGTCCAGGTGAGAGGAGCCGCAGGCACCGGGAACCCTCCCTGGGCCGCTGCCGTGCGGGACGTGCCGCGTTTCGCGGGGCCGGGCGCTCCCGGCGTCTCCTCGCGGCGCTGCCGGCGCCCGGCGCAGCGCCGACCCCGCTACAGCCATAGAAGGGAAGGTCCCGCCGCGCTTTCCCGGCGGCGCAAACTTGTCCTGCGCTCCCTGGCAGCTCCGCGCAGCTGCCGGGGGGGCCGCGTGCCAGAGGGAGGCAGCGGGCGCCGCTTGCTCCGCGTCTGCTGCTCCCCGGCCGGCTCCCTAATCCCGTGCACGTCTGGCCGGGCGTCGTGCCGGCCCCACGGAGGCCCTTGCAGCCGGTGTCTTGGCGGGGTTCCTCGGGGATGGAGCGCAGTGCTCTGCATCCCTGTGCACCCGGAGCCCTGGGTGCTGACACGGGCAGAATTTGCCCCTGCACCAGGGACACGGAGCTGCCGGCGAGCCTCGCTTTTAGCCTCCGGCTACGGATAAAAATGCATCTGTCTCTGTATTTTTCCCCTCCTCCCGCCGCCGCCATAACCAAAATAATCCGGCGCAGGGCTGGCAGGAGGCCCGCGGGCCCTGCTGCTGGAGGCAGCCCGAGGCTCCGTCCCCCCGGCCCCACACATGGAAAGTGTGAGCGGGCGGGGGGCTCCTCACATCACCGCGCGCCGGCCCCAGTGCCAAGGCTGTGCCCGGGTTGCACTCGTTGGGACTCTGCTGATTTGTTGGGGTTTTTCCTTCCTTGCTGCTGCCCGGGCTGGGCTCCAGCCCAGGCTACGGTACGGCCAGGCCGTGTAAAGCACCGGCGCTTTAGGGTGCTCGGGGCTGCTGCAAAGCGCCCAGGAGCCATCCAGCGCCGGGCATCCCGGGATAGCAGGAGGAGTGGAAAGGATGCACTGGAGCCCTGGACCTGCTCCCCACTCCCAACAGTTCCACTGCCTGAGCCCGCCTTGCACCCGCACCTTGCCGGGGGGCTTTGCCAGCAGCCTCTGTGTTTCCCAGGCCTCCCAGAGCAGACCCGCCTGAGAGGGGGACAGAAAACAGCAGGGCACAAGCTCCAAACTCGCCTGCGAGCTGCGGGCACCTGCCCGCGCGTCCCTTTGCCTGCGACTATCTGCAGTTATTTTTCCATCTCAGCCTGGCACACGTCCAAGCCTCCCATCCTCCTCCCTCTCTTCCAGAAACAGCTGAAACACCAGCAGGGAAAGGGAACCGCTTCCCGGGAGCTGACACCCTTGAAGGCAGACAATGGTGAGGAGAACACATGTGGCTTTTGCCCCGTGCTTTCTTGGCACTGCTGCATCTTTAAAAGCATTAAAATCAACCCCATAACACAGCAGCTAGTACCAGTAGCCAGAGGACACTGGGATGATGAGTGTGACTTGGACCTGGCTGTGGCTCGGGGAGGCAGACGGTGACGTCCCATCGTCCCGGGTTGACGGGTCATCCCTGAGGCAGGAGGCCAGGCCCGGTGCAGAGCCGCGTCCTCCTTGGGCCTGCCAGAAGGTCCCAGTTAGCGCTATATGCAGCCGCACTGGGCAGGCTGATGTTTGTCCAGCGGGGACAGGACAGGGAGGCCTTGAAGCTGCTGGCAGGCTGGGGGACCAGGAAGGCGACGTCGCCAGGTTTGCAGAGGCCGTTGGTGTTTCAGCAGCGTTTGCCTTGCAGCCAACGCCGCCCCGCCGCCTGAAGAGGGGAAGGAGAAGGCCACGCTGCTGGAGGAGCAGAGGAGAGAGATTATAAAAATCCTCCAAGGACACGAGGAGGAAAAGGAGAAGCTGAGGCAGGTCCTCCAGGCAGAGACCCAGAGACTTGCCCAAGACATTAAAATCCAGGTAGGACAAAACAGCAGGGCCGGGGCTCTCGGGAAGAGCACACAAGCAGCACGTCACCCATCCGCTCGGGACTTTCCAGGCAGCTCTCAGGGCCCTGGCACCCACCGATGCTGGCATGAAAGGCATCCTGCCTCGTGCTGCTCAGCTCTGCTGGCCCGTGGAGCTGGCACACAGCAAGGAGGCCCTGCCTGGAGCTGCGTGGGGTGCCCGCGGGCCGTGGGATGCACTGCCGTGCACCACGGAGCTCTGCTTATCCAGCCCTGGCTTCCCAGGGAGCATCCCTTACGCTAAATCAGCTGCTTAGGGTTTGTCCTCTCTGTGGTTTCCAGGTGGAAAATGGAAAAGACGTGGAGCTGAAGGAGCAACTCTCGGAGCTGTTCAGTGCGCTGAAGAGAAAGCACGAAGGGGCCCTGCAAGGTGTGCAGCCTCCCCGGGAACACTACCCACCTCCCCAGCCACGTGCCGCTGCCTCTGCCCTTCTCCAGCCCCACTGACCCTGCGAGGGCCCTCACGGGGCCAGGGCTTGGTGCCCGTTGCTCCGTGGGGCTGCTGCATCCTGCGTTGCTTTTGTGTGCTGCGGCACTGGCCAGGCCGGCTCCTCTGGTGTCGTTGCACCCGTGACGCTCAGCTCGCGTGTCCCTGCAGAGCTCCGGCGAGCGCACGACCAGGAGAAGCTGCTGCTGGCAGAGTCCCACCAAAGGTCCCAGGAGGCCCTACAGGTACCAGTGGGGAGACCCCCAGGATGATGCTAGTGGAGGGCTTGAGCAACTGATTCCTGGCTCCACCATGGTGCCCACGCTCCTGCGTGGCTGCTTTGGTGCCCAGGATGACACAGGGACCTGACCCGCTCTGGGGCTTATTGAGGCACTGTGTCTGTAGCCAAGCAGGGACTTGTCTGAGAGGAAGTTCCAAGCCCAAACATCTCCTTTCCTGCTTTCCTCCCCACTTTGGCTGCCCTAGGAAACAATCGATGCCTTGGAATCCCAGCTGAAGTCCTTCCAGGAGAAGATGAAGCGGGTGGAGGAATCGCTCCTGAGCAGAGACTACAAGAAACACATCGAGGTACAGGGAAACACAGGATGGGGGGCCTCTGGGTTTGGTGTCTGCCAAGTCCCTTGTCCTTGGTGGATTGGGCTGAAGGGAGAGATGCTGCTCCAAAAGATACCAGCACCAGGGGCCAGGAGACTAAAACCCCATGTCTGGGGGGTGCATGGGCCATTTATGTCCCTTGCTCACGAGCAGCTGCAGTGAGCAGCGAAATGCAGTAGGTTGCAGGTACCAAGCGATGCCGGGAGGAGCCTGGCACCGGCTGCGGTCACCAGCTGCTGTGCGGGGGGCAGCCGAGCAGCCCGGCCCCGTGCAGCTCCTGCATCTCCCCTCTGCCCCCAGGAGCACGGGAGCCCCAGCCCCTTCTGGGAGCAGGAGCTGGAGAGCCTGCACTTCGTCATCGAGATGAAAAACGAGCACATCCACGGCCTGGACAAGAAGCTGCTGAACCTGGAGACTGTGGTGCGTGCCGAGGGATGTCGGGGATGGGCTTGGCTCTCTTTCCAGGCTTATTCCCACTCAAATGCTCTGATGAAGCCACAGCCGGTGCAGAGATGGGAGCTGGTTCCTCACTCCGGCCACTGGCCCCTTGGAGCCGGAGTACAGCCATGGGTTCCGTGCAAAGCCCCGGTGCTGCCGGAGGCTGTCGCGCATCCCCACGCGGTGCCGTGCGCCCGACTGTCCCCGACCCCACTGCTCTCCCAACCCCACTGCTCTCCCTGCCCCGCCAGGTAGAGCAGAACCTGCTGCTGGAAGAGAAGGTGAAAACGCTGCAGCAGGAGAACGAGGACCTGCACGCTCGCACCCAGAACCACCTCATCATGAGCAGGTACCTGCCCAGCCCGGGGCGCACCTGGGGGTGCCCTCTCTGGCGGTGGCACCTCGAGGGGAGCAGCAGGCACGTTTGCCCGCAGGCAGCTGTCCGAGGAGCTGGTGGCCGCGCGCGGGGCGCTGCAGAAGGAGTCGCAGCTGCGGGAGCAGGCGCACCGCGAGAAGGAGGAGCTGCTGTACCGCGTGCTGCGCGGCGACGACGCCGTCCCCTTCGCCGTCCCTCCCGACGTGCCCCTCGTGGCCACCACGTAGCGCCCCGCGGCCGCTGGGCCTTCCCGTGGGCGCGCAGCCCCGGAGCCACCGCTGCGAGGGAGCCTTTCGCGGGACACGGCCACCCTGCCGTCTCCACTGCCACCACGGGGCTGCCCCGGGCATCCCAGCCTCCGGCACCAAGGACACACGCTAGAGACCGGCCAGCTGGGCCCGCTCGGGAGCACGTCTGGAGCAGCGCTTGGCCCCGGCTGGGAAAGAGCTGAGCAGGAGCTGACCAAGGGCACCGCTGTTAAGTGGCACACAGCGGCTGTGCCGTTCCTCATGGGAGAAGCCCTGGCGGGGACGGGAGGCGATAATGGAGAGGTGTCCCAGCTCTCTGCATTGGCTGCCCTGAGCTGCAGCACCCAGACTGGCTGTGGTCATTGCTCAGGAAAGCATTACCTCTGCCTTTTCACACCAAAACCAGCATTTCCCTGCCTGGGGCCTGCCCTGCTGCTTGGAGAGGACGGGGAGCAGGCAAAGCTCGTGCCTCTCCATGCCACCATCCTCCTGCACCTGCTGCCGGGAATCCCGCTCCGGGCCCGGATGCACCCGCTCAGCAACACGCAGAGGCCAAACCCTCCTGGCCCCCCAGCCGGTCCCAAGCACCAGGCTCAACCACAGAGCACCCTTAGCAGGGGAGCAGGCTCTGGCAGTGACCACCAGCGGCTCACATCCCTCCTGGCCCACATCCCCATCCCAGGAAGACACCTCTGAAATAGGCCTGGAGACCCAGAGAGTTGCAGCTGGATGCACACGAGCACTTTCCACAGGGCACAGGAGTGTGGTGGGACAGCAGCTGCCCCAGTCCTGGCATATTTAGCTGGGGTTGGAGCCTGTGTGTGTACCCAGCCCATGAGCTACCATCAACACCAATAACAACTCCAAAAGCAGCAGCCTAAGGAATGCGGCGCCAGCATTTCTGAGGGGGACCGATGCTTGGAGGAGGCTGCTCTGGGCAAGCAGCGAGGGAGTCACTGAATAAACCACTCATTTTACTGCATGGAAACAAGTAGCATCAGGAATACGTGTGGCAGCCAAGGAACAGTTTTGCCCTGAGCCAGGCTGGCTGGTGCATCCTGGCTCATGGGCAGGTGCAATGGGACAGAGGGAGGCTGCACCACACGCGAAGCGGGGAGGACACGGATGTGGGTGGCAGCAGATGCCCACACACAGGGCAGGCACCCCAGCTGTGGGCAGAAGAGCAGGGTTGGGGGCACATGTGGCCACGGGCACCCCAGGGAAGGGCCTCACCAGCACATCTGCAGGAGCCCAGGCTACTTCCTGTTTTTTCCCCTTCCCATTTCCTTTTTGCAGCTGTTTCCATGGGCTCCCCTCCCCACGCAGGGCAGGCCCCAGCACCACCAGCCCTGCCGAGCTCTTGGCCTTGCCACCACTGTCATTTCCGTCACCTGTACTGATCCTTATCAGGAAACAGCCTCCCCCAGCTGCAGCAGGCAGCCCAGTTAGCGAGCCCAGGGCCTGCTCTCCTCCCAGGGCCCTGTGCTAGGGCTGGTGCACGGGGCCTGCAGCAGGATACCCCGAGCAACCACCTCCTGCTAAGCCAGGGCCACTCACAGTTAATGCAGGTGCTTGGTGGGATCTGTCACACTCCATCCAGACTGGCCATGCAGAAGAGCAAGCCCACAGGACCAGGAACAGTGGATGGTGAAGGCCCTCTGGACATCGTAGATGTCAATGCCATCCACAGGCACCTCCTCGCGAGGGACCTCGCAGTGCAGGGTCACCTGGGCCAGCAGGATGGTCACATAGCAGCAGCATGGGGTGGCCAGTGTGCAGCTGCAGCAGCTCATAACAACCCTCTGTGGGGATGCAGGGCTCCTGGGGACCTGTGGAAGGGCAGTGAGATTAGGAGCCTTCTTCAGGGATGTGAATACCCCATGGCATTCATGGGGCAAACATGCCCCTTGCTCACCAACCTGCTGCCGCAGGTAGCCCCAAAGGCATTGGAGAGAACATGGCTTTCCAGTCAAACTCCCTGTGCTCCTGCTGCCCCCATGCTGCCCAGTGCCGAGGCACCCACACAAGAGCTCTGCACCTCAGTACACTAAGGGCAGAGCCTCTCCTGCACATGGGGGTGTCTTGGGTGACATGCCATAGGTCTCCCCTGCATGGAGGAGCCAAGGCAGATGCCTGACCTGTGAAGATGGAGGTATTGCCCATCCTCTCCATCTCAGCAGCAGGTATGAAGGCACAAGAAGGACCAGCAGCTGTGCCAGCCAAGGGCCATGGCATTCAGCACCCGCAGCTGGCTGTGCTTCTTGAAGGGCCTGATCCTAGAAGAGAGCAGCCCTCATGCCATGCAATACAACCCTTTTTCCCAGAAGGACGTGGCACTTGTTTCTGTCCCTAACATCACTCTCCTTTGGGAAGGCCCCTGGACACTAGGCCTCTTGCTCAGCATGAAGGATGCCCTCTCCTGGCTCTGCAGCTGCCTCTGGATGAGCAGGGTGGTCTCCAGGATCCCCATGAGAGCCAGGCCAGCGACACACGAGCAGCCCTGTGGTGCTCAGCAAGCAGAGCCCAGAGCAGCACACCTGGGGACAGACCAGAGGCACGTTAGGGGCCTGGCCGCTCCCGGCATGAGCCTCCTCCGCTCCTCAGCAGAGTCAAGGCCACTGTTGTTTGTGGGAGTGACAGCAGGACAGGCAGGGACAAGAGGAGCCAAGCTGTTTGTCACAGAGAACTTAACTCTTCTCTACCCAATGTTAGACATTGGGTGAGAGGTGCAGAGGCTCATGCCAGAGTGATCAGCTGCATGCCCGTCAGGAGAGGGCAGGAGGGAGCCAGGCAGGCCTGGCCTGGGCGCCTGCAGCTCCCTTTGACCAACAGTAGGCCAACAGACTGATGGACATCACATCAACCAGGGCTTTCTGGTCAAAGAGGAGGGCCAGAGCAGCTGTAGATAGAAGCAGCCCCTTCTGTTCCTGGAAGACAGCAGTGGTGACACAGCCAGTAGCATACAGATTCTCGCTGTGGCTTCGTACCGGCTTCTGTGGCCGCGCAGAGAATTAGTGCTGTGGTTTCCCAGGCTGCAGAGGAGACACACACCAACATCGCACCCTGCCTCGCAATGCAGCCAACTCCAATAAAACACAGAAACAGAGGCTCCAGCCAAGGTGCCACTGAAGTTATAGGGCATGAAGCCTTCTGCGCCAGAGCCACTGGTTCTACTGACAGTCACAGACTGGTTCCTGAAAGGAAGATGATGTTGGTCAGTACAAAATGGGAGGGATCAGTGCAAAGAAGTCTTAGGATGGGACCTTTTACTGATGACATAGGACAATAACAGGTTCCACTTGGCAACAAACACCTACAGCTCTCTAAATACATAGGACCACATAGGATGGTCCCCTCTGCAGCTTGGGGCACAGACAGGGGCAGCCACTGCTGCTCTCCACAGCCCTGATATGTAGCAGCAGAGCCTATGAACCCCTGCGGAGCAAAAGGTTCCCTCCATCACATTGAAACCCAAAGAAGAAGTGACTTGGGGGTACCTAAAGCCAGACCACCCCATGGGGAACATGGATGGGGATGTCAGTCCCAAAAGGCAGAGAGATGAGCAGTTTGCAGTAGGGCTTGGAGCCACCTAGGCATGCAGAGAAGCTGACTCCCCTAGGGACAACAGCCATCATGGTGCTTTGGGTGCTGGAGAACCGCTGCATGGGACCATAATAGCTCAGATCACCCTGCAGCATCCATCATTCATATAACAACGTACAAACATTCCTTCAAAAGATTCATTCAGGCAATTTTCTTTCTTTCAGCAAAATAAGCATCTTACTTGACCAATCCCTCAGAATAGTAAGTAAATAAATAAAATCAGGCTTAAAGATAAGGACAGATAGGAGAAAGCAAGCCCTACACAGATATATCAGCAATGGTTAAACTCTCCCCTCAGGCTTAGTTCCTTTTAAAGAATATCCTAGCTTTTATCCCTACATAATCTACACAAAATTATTGTTTCCCACAAAAGCTTCCAAATCACTTGTGCATGCCCATAATGTTAGCAAGCTTAAAGAGACCACAGAAAATTAACACTTTAAAATTACCTACCTAATAGACTAAGAAAAGCCTTACCTTATCTCATCTCAACCAGGCTCCTCCTTTTCCTGTTTTTCCTTACCCCTCTCACATCAGGAACCCTAAGAGGGACCAAGAAAAGACTAAGAGTCCCCAGTTGGGCTTAAATGGAGCCCCAGTCCACAGGTGGGAAGCAGGTGAGGGTCCCAGGTGAGGCTGTTTAGGGCCATGAAGGCTTCATAAGTCCTGCACTGCCCCAGGTGCTACCTAGGTTATCTATGTTATAGTGCAAGGGTTTTTAGAGCTCCCTTGGGCTGCAGTAAGGTCATAGCACAAAACCTAGTATTTTTAAGTCTTCAGATGCTGTTATGGTTTGTAAGGAGAAAAAGGTAGGAGCTATAAGAAGGCAGCAGAACACAGGTAAGGAAGAACCTGGTGTACCTGGGCTGTGGGTGCTTGCACCAGCTATAAGGCTGCCCTGGCTGCATGGAGCAGCAGCTCCCAGGGTGCTGCAGGAACAGTTCTGTGCTTGCTCTGTCCCTGTGCACCCCCCTGGCCAGCACATCCCTCCCTTGGGGCTCTGCCGCAACCAGGAGGAGAGCGGGGCTGTTGTCCTGTCCTGCGGGATGGGACAAACAAAGCTGCGCTTGTCACCCACGCCAGCTCACATGAGTGAGGCCTCTGGGTGCCCCTGCTGATGCCAGCCAGTGGGAACATCATCCTGCTGCCTTAAGGAACAGAAACAGAAAGGACCACTTTGTGCTGGTGGCCGGAATGGTGGGGGAAGAGCTGGGCTGGGTCAATTGCTATAAACTTATAACATATGGAGACATCCTGGCTCTTTTTCCATCTGTTTCCCACTGGCTGTGCCGCAGCGTTGTGAAGATGCTCCACACAGCGAGTGCTGCCTGGGCTTGAGTAGATGGAGGGTTTTGTGTCCCCACCTGCTCCCCCGCTGTGCCCCCCTGGGGAGGGGGCTTGTATTTATCTGCTCATGCCTGTGTAAATGAGGCCATGGCCACCACTGTGTCCCTTATTGCAGGGAGCCTGCCAGCTCCTCCAGCCCCATGCAGCTTTTGTATTAACTGGGGAAAGCACTGGTGGGAAAGAGCCCAGGATTAGGCTGGATGAGATGGCAAAGAAAGCAGCAGCTGGGCAGGGAGAGTGGCAGGGACTCTACAGTGCCCACAAACATGGGTTTCGGAGGGGGACCGGAGCTGCGCCCAAGCCTCGCTGCCAGGTCCCCGAAGGGAAGGGGTGCGGGCGGCGGGCGGCCCGAGCTGCAGCTGCCGCTGCCCGCAGCGGGGCCGCCTTGCCGCGGCCGGGGCGGTGCCGGGGGCGGGCGGGGAGCGGCGGCCCCGGCCCGGCCCGCGGCCATTGGAGCGCGGCGGGGCCGTGACGCGGCGCGGGGGGGCAGCGGCTGCGCGGGGGGGCAGCGGCTGCGCCGGGCGCTCCGAGCCGCGGGGACGGGCGGGGAGCGGCGGCCGCCGGCGCCGGAGCGAGCAAGGGGTGAGCGCGGGGGGCGGCCGAGCGGGGCGGGGGGCGGTCCCGCCGCGGGGACCCCCCTGCTCGAGCTCGGGGGGACCCTGCGCTGCCCGCGGGGAAGGTCCCGTTGCCGCCCGGGGAGAGGGGTGCGGGGGTCTGGCTGCTGGGGAAGGGGCTTGCGGAGCCCCCTGCCCCGCCGCGCTGCGGGATGCGGCGGCTGGGTGTGCCCGGCGAGGCAGGGCCCGCTGTGCCACGGGCAGCGCCACCGGGATGGGCTGCGGGGGCACTCGGGCAGCTGCAGGCTGTGGGCAGGAAATGCCCCTTTGGGAAAGGTTCGTTCTAGCAAAGCTTACTCATTCTGCAAAGGGCAGAGAGAGTTGGGGACCGATGCCAGGGGGTTTGTCTTGTTTTCCAGGATCACCGCTCCCCGCACACCCCTCTGTATTCCCAGATCGGGAGGTGTGTGGAGCTGCCCAGGGTCTATGAGCTGGGCTGCCCCTGGGCGTTACCACCTGCCCCATCCCTGGCCTGTGTTTGTCCTCCAGAGCCCGGGCAGCTCTGGGGCGTCCTGCCCGGGCTGGCCGTGGGTTCACCTGCTGTCAAGGGCAGAGTGGGGCCTCTGCGGAGGCCTGGCTGCAGCCAGGAATGGTCACCCGTACGGCTGGCCTCCAAAGCAGCCTTGCATGGAGGCAGGGAACAGAGGGACGAGGTGTGGATCCAGTTTTCCAGGGAATTCTCAGACAATGCTGAGATGAGTTGGGCGGTCTTGGCCCAATTGCTGCATGTGGCTGGCAAGGAAGGAGGCAGGAGGCAGTACTGGATGCAGCTTTCTGCGTTTGCTGGAGGGCACGAGGCTTCTGGACTGCAGCAGCCCGCAGGGGCTCCTGGTGGGCTGGGTACGGTATGTGGTATGTGGAGGCCCAGCAGCTGCTGGCCATGGGCAGCTGTGTCCTTCTGCAGCTGCCTAGACCTCCCTGTGCTCCCATCTCCGCCCTGCCGCCCCCTCATCTCGGGAGAAGGGGGTGTCACGGGGCAGAACAGCAGCTCTTGAGCAGGGCTGCAGCCTCAGAGCGGTATTTTGCTCCTCAGCATAACAGAGGTGATTCGATGCGGTGGGGAGGCTCCTGGGCGCCGTAGGGTCCTGCTGTGCCTGGCACCCGGCGGGAGCCACTCTGCAGTGCAGGCCAGGCCGTTCGCGGGAGGGAGGTGTGAGGCTCTGCAGCCTCCCCAGCTGAAAAAGGAAGGGCAGCGGGGAGGCGAGCGCTGCTCCGCTTCCCAGCAAAGCTTCCTCCTCTTGCAGGGGTGCCCACATGGGCACTGGAGGCTGAAAACTTTCCTTCCCTGAGCAGAGAGGAGCTCTGCATTGCTGGCTGCGAGCAGCGCTCTCAGCGGCTCGCGTCTCCCCGCTGCAGGGATTTAGGGCGGTGCCGGGGAAGTTCATATGAGGTGCATTGTATATATGCGTATATATATTTTTTTCTCCCTGCAGTTGCTCACAGGCATGAAATTTAGCTCTGAGTGCATTTCTGCCCCAAGCATATTCCTAAGTGCCGGGAATCCTCCCTGCTCGCGCCCGGCTGCAAAATGCCTGCCCTGCCTGGCGTTTTCTTGCAACGTGTCGGTGGTGGAGCCCTGGCTCGCAGCGGAAGGGGGGATGTGACTCCTCGCTGGAGAAGCCGAGCAGCTCGGGTGACGCCTGGGAGATTCATTCATGGCTGCGCTCCATTTTCCAGCTGTTTCTCTCCTCCCGCCGGCTCTCGGGGCTCTTGGTGCAACCCGTGCTCTTTGGGGACTTTCTCCAGGGGGGCGGGGAGGCTCGTGCTGCACTCGATGAATAGCTATAAATGGTGCTTGATGTTAGAAAACACTCGGCAAGTTACCCTAGAAACCGAGTTGTGTTTCCTGGGCTTTGCTCTGCATGTCTGACTGATATCAGGACTTGGGCTGCTGCGCTGAAACTCAGATAAAGCCCGCGGGGACTGCCAGGTGCTGCCACCTCCGCTGCAATGGGATTTTCCTCTGGAGCTGGGATAACCCCTAGGGCTGCAGGGCTGTGTGGGGAGCTGGGCAGAGGGCTGGGGGCTGCAGCTGATGCTCCTGGTGGCCCCCCAGGTCTGCGGAGGGTCAGCGCCCAGCGCCAGCCCTGTTTCTGCGGAGGATGCTTGGCCCATTTCCGTATATTCAGCACTCTGTTCCCCTTGTGGTTTCTCTCGATGCCGGCTGGCGAGCGTTGCACGGGCAGGAAGCTGCGCCGGAGCGGGCGTCCGTTTCTGCTGCCGCTTCTGACACTGGACTCGCTGTCCGCGGGAGAGCCCCGGGCTCCGCGGCGCGGCCCTGCGGTGCCGGCAAGCCTCACTCCCCACCTACCACTGCAAGGGCTCCTTGGTAGACCCACTGGAGTGGGATGGGAATGCCAGGGAAATTGCCATGTGTCAGCCCAGCAAATGTCAGGGCTGCCAGCCCCAAAAGCCATCCCAGGCCTGGCGTGTGGCCCTTGGAGAGGGGACTGCAGCATCCGCAGCTCTCCCAGGCTCAGAGGAGGCTGCGGGGGAGCCCGATCCCCATCAGCATGGCCTCGCCTGCAGTGATGCTCCAGCTCCTAACTACAGCCTTGATCTTTCTCCTGCAGCTCCTTCTGTCCTTCACGCCAGTGACTTCCAGCGGCAGAAACCATGGCACCCAAAGGAAAGGTAGGACAGGGCCAGCTCCCGGGGCTGCCTCTGCTTTCTCTGCATTGTCCTGGCTCGGGGACAGGACCAGCTGCGTCCATGCAGTGCTGTGTCCCACAGCTGCCGTGGATGTGGGGTGAGATCCTGCTGTGGAGCCTGTTGATGTTGCTGCCTCTCCTGCTGGCTCCATGGGGTGAATGGGCAAAGTGCTGGGGTTGAGGGGGTTGCAAATGGGCAGGAGGGAGGCACAGAAATCCATGCAGGAACAGAGTGGGATGGGAGGCAGATGTGGGGTCCTGGCAAGGGGAGGAAACCAGAGGTTGTCCCAGAGATGTGGTGCTTAGCAGGGAGAAATGATGTCCGAGAGGCTGGTGCGGGGGCCTGCACAGAGCCCCTCTGTCCTGCTGGGTCCTGGTTGCCTACACGTGCTGTGTGGGGGGCACCCTTGGCCGCTCCGGGTATGTGGACACCCCTGGTGAGGAGCAGAGCCCTCGCTCCTGCCTCCCAGCTCTGCGGAGAGACCCCAGGACCTTCCCACTCCCTTCCCACCTTTATCCCTCCCTAAGGGGACCTCAGCTTGGCCCCTGGCTCTGCTGCCCTCCAGGTGTGGGTGCTGTGCACCCTGGAGCTTGGGGAGCAGGAGCCCGCGTGCAGCCAGGGGATGTCTTGGCATGGCTGGAAGCCTGGGCCAGAGCAGGGAGCCCAGGGCCAGGTTCTGGAGCCGCAGCTCGTGCTTCCCACCTGTGGGGCGGGTGCTGGTGCATGGGGAAGCCAAGGCCCCGTGCGGCCATGTGTCCCAGGGGCGGGAACCGCTCCAGGTTCTGCCTCCCCTGCACCCGGAGCTGCCCGCGGGCTCGCAGAGGAGAACAAAACCTTGCTGGGAATTTTGCTTCCACCCTCCCTGCTCCGGCCTGGCCTATTTATAGCTCCCCGATCCCGGCGGGCTGCGATGACTCAGGGCTGGA